AAAAAGTTAAAGTTAGCGCATGTGATTTCTTTTACATAAAATCCGTCTGTGCAACGTACCTCAAAGCTTTAAAGCGCCTTTTCCAGCATTACGTTCTTCTCCATTTTGATATTTTTTAAAAATATGCAATGCGGTCACTTTATGGAAAACACTTTGTATATATTTACATGGACAATTAATCTACACACGATACAAATACATGTACACTTCAGACACACACCTCTCGATGAAGCACTCTCGAACAAGAAGTTGCTCATACTTATGAGCAGTAATGGTTTACTTAATGACTATCGATAATAAGAAGAGCAATGCTTCTACTCACGTCTTCGGAGACGGGGTGGAAGCTTCTACTTTTATTTTCCTCGAGAGGACAACTTGACTGTAATTTGCAATTTAGATGCTCTTTGTACTTGAAAATATGTAGAAAACTAGAAGAGATTTTTTGAAAACAGGTGGACGACAAAGAATTATCCGGTGCAGAAGAGGAAAAGGAAGTTGAAAAGGCCCTGTTGAAGCCTCTGCTGTCGTTGGAGGATCTCGTGAGGTTTTCTACACTCGAAGGGACTGGTGGTGATTCCCTCAGAAACTTGTTGCAACGAGGACATGAGACAGGAGCCGAATGGCCGGGATTGGAACACGCGAACATCGGTCCCTATATTCAGAAGATGTTGGCTGCCGCTGCACCATTAGGTAAAATTAATCATCTAAGTTCCCTAAATTACAAAATGATATCGTAAATAGCTTAAAAGCTATTTCATCAGTTAAAGAGTTAATTTATTTATATTTATTTTTATTTTTTTCAAAGAATTATAATTTTGTCTATCAAAGTTCCGATTACAATTAAATTTTTAATAAAATTTTATGTTTTTAAAATTTCAAGTAATTAATTTTTTTATATTTATTAATGTAGTAATATAAAATTAACTTGCTGTAAAATAATTTAATATATTGATATTCGACATTTGGGTCATTTCCAAGCATTAGTTTATTTTGTCCATTGACTGACTAACCAATGTACGTCAAGAGAGGAAAGCCGAAAAGTGTATTACGCCACAATAGGACTTCTGAAATCGATAGAAGCCAGGCCCTAGTTAATCAGTTTGCCGATATTTTCTCTGCCTTTGAAGACTGCAATTTAATTTGAATAGCTTGCATCTGTATTTGAAATTATGACGAACACTGAAGAAAAAACAAAAAATAAATGCAAAATAATAACGATTTTTATTGAAGTCATCATTAAATCTGTATTAAAATATTTTCATATTATTTGAAATTTCTACACATAGAATTCTAATGGATAGCCTTTCTCACATAAAATATTAATAACAGTTTCAATTTATACAATTTTCTCTCTCTCAGATACTTAAAGAAACAACTGATTTACTTATGTTAACATTTTTGGATGTAAATCTTTCTTTATAAATCTTTCTTATACTACCATCTCGATAGAATTAACCATTGAGGGATCGGTAATAGGTAGATGTATATAGAAAAAAATGCTAAGATTTTAAAAGAGGATTTTATTCTTGTGATTAAATTTATACTAAGTCCCATCTATTTTACCTTTAACAAAGTAATGTATAAACAGACCTGTGGCATATTCATGAGGTCGCTATTATCCTCTATCATCATCCGTAAAAAAGACATTACGGTTGGTTGGTACTGATTTACCTTTATTTATTATATTACCAGTATGACATATTACTAGCTACTTTAGAAACAGACAATTTTTCTAATTAAATTGCTTCGATATGTCTACATTTTTATTGTTCATTATTTGACCCTTGACTACTTATTATCGATTAGCTTTACGAGCATGCATAATTTGCCAATACCGACAGACATTTATGAATCTCTACTACACATATTGTAATAATGACGTAGGCATGGACACGCGAGACTATCGCATACCCGAAGTAATGAGGAAGCTGATGAGTGAGGACAAGAGGCTGAACAAGAACGTGAACGGTGATCAGTCACAGCCGCATCACCATCAGCACCATCTTCTCGCACATCAGCAGTCGCAGCAGCAGCAGCGAGGGCCCATGACGAACGATGACTTCAATCCCAACATCGAGGAAGAAGCCAGCGACAGCGCTCAGGGCAGAGCGATATTGAAAATTCCGTCCTACAAGCCCGCCAGCACGCCGGGCTGTTCCAGCAAGAACGGCGAGCCGACTTCCGCCGCATTCGCCCAGAGCTTCGCGGCTGCCGCCTCGAGTCCGGGCCTTCTGGAACGAGCTAGTCCAGCGTTTTCCAGTACCAGCAGCCCCACGAATTCGCTGGTAGGCAAAGCGGTGGCCGTCAATTTCCGCGACGTTATCGCCAAAAGCATTAGCGTCAAGTTCCAAGAGGGTCAAACGCCCAGCGCGGCTGGCATACCGGGCTGCCAACCAGCCGGTGTGGTTCCATCGCAGCAGGCGATGATAACAGATCCGAGTCCGTTCAAGAGGGGTCGGTACACACCTCCACAGCCGCCACAACAACAGCAACAGCAGTCGCCGGCGCAGCAATCGCAATCCAAGCAGCAGTCGCAAGAGGCGAACAAATCAAAACCGGGTACTGGCGGCAAGGGCACCAGACCTAAACGCGGAAAATACAGAAACTACGACAGGGATAGCCTTGTCGAAGCGGTACGCGCAGTTCAGCGCGGCGAGATGAGCGTGCATCGTGCTGGCAGCTTTTATGGAGTTCCGCACTCCACCCTTGAGTACAAAGTCAAGGAGCGGCATCTCATGAGGCCGCGCAAGAGGCAAGTTTCGATTAGTTGTTTTGATAAAAGAATTAAATTTCTTAAATTTCTTTTTTTTGTTTGTTTTTTTTATCCGGAAAGGTACAAGCAATCGGTATTGCTTGTGGACGATACAATGTCTACGTGACAAATCTCAGGACGTCTTGGAATTATATTTTTTACACCGTATGTCGCAAATTATTATAAAGAATATGTTATTGTGTTAAGAGCTATAAATTTTAATCCGAGCTTTCTTTTCTTCTGCAGGGACCAGAAGCAGCCGGACGACAAGGCGAAAGAGACTGCGACGACGGCAGCGGCGGCAGCGGCGGCCGCGGCGATGCGGCCGGGCACTGCTGGCGTCGACAAGAAGCCGCAGCTGAAGCCGCAGAAACCGTTCACACCGCCCGGCGGTATACCCGGTCCGAATGGACTGAAAATGCCTCCGTTCATGGAGGGCATGCCCCACCTGCCATTCGGACCTTTCAACTTCTGGAACCCGTCGCCCTTCATGCCCTCCCCCTTTATGGGTGGCGCGCCGAACGTGCCGATCCTTCCGGAACAATATTTCGCATCGCAGAGAATGCGTGGGCTGCAGGAGCAACAACGAAACGCCACGATGGTACAGCAGCAGCAGCATCAGCAACGAGACCGAGATGGAGTTGGCGTTTCCGGAACGGCAGACGCGGCCGGAACTTCGAACTCTCGAAGCGCTTCGATGGCGAAGGCGCCGCGCGACATGGTGGAGAGCATTTACGATGGGCCCGGGGCGAACGGCAGTTTCCTGGACAATCTGATCAGGTCGAGCCTTGAGACAGGCATTCCAAGGGACCAGCGGGCGATAGCGGAGGCGAGAAATCAGCAACAGCAGTCGTCATCGCAACACCCGGAGACGATGAGTAGCAAGACACTGATCGATCAGCTCTGCAGAAACTCGAGGAGGACCCCGCTGCCGCGGATGGCGCAGGACAGTAGCGAGGACGAAAGTTATCGAGGACCAACGGGCAGGATGGTGCCAGAGAGACCGGAGCGCGTGCCCACGGTTGACCTTAGCCCTTCACCGTCGGAGAGAGGTCGCACGGAAGACGGCAGCGATCGGCTGACGTCACCACCGACACCTCTGTCGATTTCTCGAGCGGGCAGCAGGGACGAGGACAGCACCCGTGACTCGAGAATCGATCGCAGCAGCAGAGAGCGCGAGGTTCACAACGGCGGCCAGGAGGATCGCGACCGGAAGCAGCCTCTGAGTCTGCAACAGCAGCAGCAGCAGCAGCAGCAGCAACCACAGCTGAATCACTACCCGGACTTACACAACCTCTACGCCGCGTCAACTGACAAAAAAAGTGCCTGTGATAGTAAGCTTATAGTAGATCATTCGAGCCAGAAGACTCAGCCGCAGCAACAACAAAAGGAATACGCTGCCGTGAGCGGGCTGGTCGTGCAACTGCAGAGGGGCTACAACACCGCGAGCAGCAGATCCGGCGAGCCGACTAACAGCCAGCAGCCGGCGGCGGCGGAGCAGCGCGGCACCGCGCTCAGCATGGAGGACTCCGTAGAGTAGACGAAAGTCAGTATCAGTTATCAGTAAAGTATACAGTTATGAGTACAGTAAACAAATGAAAAGGCCCATATACAGTAAGCCCACATTCCCGCCCAGATCTCTCACACGCACCGAACCCGTGCGCCTTCTCGTTGTTGCGCGCCACGAACGGGGCTTCCCTTCGCGCTCGCATAATTTTCCCAATCCGACCCGTGACGTGTCATGGGGCAAGAGGGACGGATTCAGGAGATAAACCAAATCTCCTAGCGCCGAATGATCGATTCGAGCACAGGGACGAAGGGAATCCTCAAATACCGTCGCCGACGCCGATTGTACTCTCGATTGTATCCTCCCTCCCACACACCCCTCACCTGCTCCCCCCCTCCCCCTCCCCACGACCTTTCTATTTCGATCGGAAGAAACCTCGAACGTTGCGAGGCAAGTCCAGTGCAAGAAGGGGAGAACAAAAAGTGGCGATGCATAAATGCTGAGCACAACCTATACCCACATAAAACCCACTGCGATTCCGCCAGTTAGCGCATACCCGCCGTATGAACCCGCGTCCGGCTGGCCCACCGCCCCTGGCCAACCTGGTATTAGGCGCGCGTGTAGGAAAAACCCTTTCGATTTACGGCGAAAATACATTTCGCACCGGAGTATACCGAGAACGTAATGGATAAAAGACACACGCGACATGTTCATCGTGCCGACTGTTCACACGCGACACGCTTTAGTAGACGCAAGGACCCATTCTGATCGCGTTTCTACGAGCCCGAGACATTCCACAAGACAGTCTCACACACAAATATCTTTCTCACACGCGCACACACACACACGCACACACATACACACATACACGTAATATAACAACATATACGCGAGTATACAAAAATGGGGAACATAACGAGATATTTAGGCGTTGCGCGCGCGCACGTGTCGTTACAGCGGCGTTGCCCGAAATCTTACCTTCGCGTCAAGCATCGCCGAATCGCATCGCGGATCACGGTATTTTGCGCCGATGCGAAACCCATTTCTACGATAGACGCGGTGACCCGGATACACACGAATTCGTTGAGTTCCGCGACCGTCGTGGACTTGACGGTCGAAGGTAACGCTTGGCTCGCAACGCCGTGTGACGCACACGTGGACACGTGCAACGCGAAAATGTTAGCCGTTCGATGATTATTATTACGATTATTAATTACTGCAACCACTATCAATCGGTTGACGACGACGAAAGGTCAAACGATGGAACAAAAATGCCGACGCGACAGCATATTTTTTTCCTCTGTGAGTGTAAAATTACCTAATGCAAAAAGAAAAAAAAACTTATTATCTACTATTTAAACACTACTTAACTAAGAAAGCGCGACATAATTATATAAGGAATAATATATTATATATACATATATTTTTTGGTCATTACGAACGTGTGCGAAGCGAGAACGAGCCAAGGCTTTTGTTGGCGCGCGCAGTTGACGCGTTTTTCTTTTTCACGAGGCGACAATATTTCTATATTCTCGGTTATTTCGAGGCCAGCGTTTGACGTGAACGCGTCCCACGTTTCGGGCGTGAACGCGGCAAAATGGGAGGAATGCAAAAAAACGTACCGAGATGCGATCTTCGTTGTTGAGAATTGCCTACAAAGTTGCGAGTAATGTTCTTGATCAATATAATGGCACATTCAAGACAAATGCTTACGTTTGTTCGTCTATGGAATTCTTTTTTTTTACGGAGGATCTATATGTATAACGAACAGTGTAAAAGATTTTAATTTTTCTAATGTTTTATAGTTATAATATTTTTTAAATGAGCACGAAGTACTTCGAGCTTTTTGACACAAGAAAAAAATTTATTATAAGAATTTATATATATTAGAAATAGCATTTTAAAATAATATCAAGTTAGAGATCTTTTGGTTGTTGTATATGCAGTTTTAATTCCCTGTTTTACATAGAGAGAGATTTTAAGAAGAAAATAATTCCACGAGTTCTTTTTTTGTGAGCAATTATGACTACGAAGATCGCGGTCTTTCGGCGTCGCGTTATGGAATTAGATCGCGGTCCGAATTCAGATAGAAAGATACAAACTCAAAATCAGAACACGGGATAGAGGAAAGGATACTGTTGCAGCGCGCGCGCGCGCCGGCTCTCGATTCGATTTCTCCGATACCGGAAGCGCAGACGTTTTTCTTAAAGCGCGAGACGCCCACTTTTTGATACGAATACAAATTTTCTACTGCGTAGAGGAGAAGAAGAGAAAAAAAAAAGAGATAAAAAGAAGTTGCGGTCGCAGCAGCGCGAGCGGAGGCAGTGTTGTATCGTTTCTTCGCAAAGGAAAAGACTTACTAAATCTAGGAATGTTTTAATCTCTGTTTTCGTTTCTCACATATCGCGGTTTCCGCGAGCGATATATATGCATTAGGAACCAGCAGACTCATCGTGACGCGTCGGAACGGATTTTGGGCAGACACTTCGAGCGCGCCTCGATTGTCCGCCGTCGGTTTGAAGTAACGACGAATATCGAACGAATGACGAACATCGACGTTTCAAGCGACCACACGTCTCTCTCTCTCATTCGGTTTTTCTGTGGATTCACACGGTCATGCACGTCCAGTTATGCTCGCGATTGTGATACAGAAACCATACTCGAGAGTTAAGATAAATTTTATATAGGGTAAAAAGAAATTTTTTTTAATTCGATATAAACTTTTTTGAATTTTGACGGAAGTCTGAATTTTTACCAATTGATAATTATCGTAAGGAAGAAATAATTTTAAATGCAAACGTCAATACGTGATTTTTAGTCAAAATTTTGTTTGATAATTTAATTAAGATGACAATTTAATTAGAATAAACGTATTTGTAATCTAGACTTAAAAAAAAATATTTTTAATTTCAGCTACGTGTATATTAAAGACAATTCCATTGAAATTTGTGGATAACTTTACTTAGAATTATAATATATATTTTCTGAAGAAATATCCTTATAAAAAGATATTGAAGTTGTATAATTGAAAATTGAAATTATCTTATATTTCCTAAATAATTTAACGACGTGCGCGACTGGCTTCGCATCACTTTCGGGTAAAATTGGATTTTATAGAGAGTTGATCCGCGATTAGTATTAAAATAGTGACTTTGTCATTTCAGTTAATATAGCAGGCAGACCGTTGGACCAAGACGAAATTGACAGAGACGAAAGTCAGAGTAGGAAGGATCGGAGGCCAGACGAACGCGAGAAAACGGCGACAAAATGAAAAATAAAATGGTACTGTAGTGCGGGCCAGGATTTCCTATTTTTCTCGCATAGTCGAGCGTAGTTGCGGGAAAATGATGCGAATAAATACAGAAAAGAGGAGGATAGAGCAGCAGAAACGAAAAAGGATGATCCACACGCACTCATCTCATGACTCTCTTTAAAAGTAACGACTGAAAGACTCTAGGCTGTACATAAAGTATAAGGCATGTATGTTCGGTGTTTTAAAAATGCAAAAATTCCTTATTAATGCAAAAAAAATTATACCTACGAAAAAAGTAAACCATATAGGCAAGGCTACTCTCTCGGTGTTTTTTGGAACTAAACTTAAAATTTACCCTATTTAAAGCAAAAAACCGTGAATAATGTAACTTTAAAGAAAGCGCGCGTAAACGCGAAAACAAGTTATTGAGTGTAAACGTTAAGGTCTCCTTAGGGTTAAAAAAAAAAACAAGCTGAACAGCAACAAAGCGAAATGCAAGCTAATTATGATTGTGTGTAAACGTAAATTTAAACCTTCCTTCGCCCTGTGTCCGCTAAGTCACTTTTTAACTGTCCACCACCACACCAACGCCTGTGTCTCTCTTCCCTTTTATTCCTCACCTACTCCTCACTTCCTCGCAGACACACCTTTGATGAAGTATATAAATCACTCGGTGTGATCTGTCCTATTCGATGCCTCCAAGTCTTTTTCTAAACGTTCACCAGGCATTATTATGCGAAAAGGAGGGGAATATGTTTATACACTTGTTCCAATTACTAACTCACTTATCCCTTTATCACCCTCCCACAATCCAGAGCCCACCCAGAACCTATACCCGCAAATTCGCATCCACCGATACACCCAGAAATTCAAGCCCGATATCCTTTATCGAAAGATTTATCGTTAGATGTGAAAAAATGATATTTATCGTGCGGATGATAGTAAACGTGCGTACACTATGATTGTCGTTAATTCAATTACGGTTACGATGTTTCGTCGCGACGTTTAGTGCGGTCTATAATCGGCGGATCTCAAATCTCCACGATCCATCTGGTGCAACGCGGTACGTCTTTCGGTATTTCTTTTTTATCGCGAAAGAAAAGGTGATACACCAAGGGAAGTTAGAGAGCGCGCAGGCAAATGTGGGACAAACGAGACTATTCGCGTCCGACGTCCGTGTCGCCGAAAATAATTCGCAGTTGCTACGAATACCTATATCCTTTTCATCTCGTTGCTTGTAATTGGATCAAATTCGGGAAGCAGACCGACGATCAAATTATTGGTGATTTTCTCTCGCTATAGAATGTGTTATTCAATTGGTATCTGTAATTTTATACATATTCGTTAGCTAGACGAAAATTGGCCGGAGTAAAAGAGAGTAATGTTTACAATTAAGAACATTGCAATTAAGAAAGGTTAAAATTAGGCGACGAATGGAATCCTTTCATTAGAAGAGTCTTTATAAATCTAGTATAATTAATGTTTGATGAAATAAAATAATAATTTGTTGTTCGTGTGATTAAAATTCTTTGAAAATGATTAATTATATATTTCTTGAAGATATAAAATATGTTTGTTATATGCGTGTTATAAATTTAAAAAATAGAAAACTGTAACGTATTGGTGAAATGAATCATTAATCATGCAAGGCACACACGTATTGTACGTGTACGTTGCGACTAAGGAGGTGATTTTCGACGACGCGGACTGAAGAATAACACGCAAGAATAAGGCTCGCCCGCGTAGCTTAGGATGGGACGATTAGCTCGCGACAATTAGTACGATCGACGACGTAATTAACGATACGTCCGCGTAATGATCTCCCAGCGACACATCGACGTGTCTGCCATAACAGTTTAGACTACCTACAGACGCCCGCATATACATACGTCACTTTTTTCTCTCGCGGCAACGTCGAAGATTCTCATACTGGCGCGATACTTATAAAACACCCATACGATTTCGCGATAAAGCGCGATCGCCATCCGGACGAGCGCGATCGATGAGACGCGAGAGAAGGTCTCGTTCCTTCACGCAAGAAGGGAGGGATTATTGACGTCGAGGGAGATATTTGTCTATCTTTTTGGCGACCTTCTTCGAGTAAAATCTATAGAGGAACTACCGTTCTCTCTTTAGAAATTTGCTACGCGCGATCGTCGGGGAAAGGGATATGAGAGAACTCGAGGCTAGGCATGTACCGTTGTAGACGCGATTGTTGAAGCACTGTCGATCTTTTCGTTCTTTATTTTTTTTGGGGGGAGACGGCAGGACGAAGGCACGACGGAAGCTTCTCTCAAGTTCTCGAAATCGTATCGTTTGTCTCCGTTATTGAGAAATCGAGCTTAAGGTTTCTTTTATGCACGCGTTTCCATTCGCGTGCTGTGCAATGGCAATTCTCGTTCGATTCTGAAGACAATTACTAAGAAATTCGACGTTTTTTGTAACGTTATCTCTAAAATTGCATATTCGAAATTATTATTCGAAGAAAATGTAAAAATGTAGAAGAAATTAGACGCGAAAGGCGTCTAAAAGACATTCGAAAAATCAGGATGCCTTTTAAATGCCCCTTTGTTATGTTTATTTTTCTTTTTTAGATATTTGTTACCTTGGAAATTTTTTTGTTTGAAATACACGATAATTATGGTAATTATGGTACTACGATGCAATAAAACGCATGCATAAAAAACATCTTAATGTGTAAATTTGTTCTTCGCGATCGAAGAATTCAAAAGAATCCTTTAGTTCTTCGCTCCGTTCGCGCTTGTACATCCTGTCGTCTCTCCCTTCGTCGCGGGCGATACGCTAAACAATCCGGCGAGTGACGGATTGGTCGAATATACGGGGAGGAACAGAAATCTTTAAGAATTAAAAGATGATATATTATATTAAAATATCTGTGATGTAAAAAGTAACAAAATTTTGATGTATATTTTTCACAAATTATTGTAACCAGCTAGTATATATGTAATAAGATTACGGATATATATTATATATATATATATTATATATATAAAAAGAATAAAGACTATTGTAATTATGGTGTGCGCGAAGACAAAGTAAAAACGAGTAAGAAGGCAAACCGAGAACTAACGGGACAAAACGAGCAAGTAGGGGAAAGAGAGGGGGAGAAAGAGAGCGAGAGTAAAAAAAAAGAGTGAAAGAGAGCGAGATAGATAGATAGATAAATAGGAAGGAAGGAAGATTGAAGAAGCGTGATCGCGAAATTACGTTGATCCACACCGGTGGTCAGACGGGACCAAGATGGCGGGCATCGCTCGGAAAGTCGGGTCCAAAGATTCCCGTTTTTGCGTTTTCATTTGCACATCTTTTTACGTTCTCGCGCGTGTGCTCTTTCCGCTTTCATCGGGCCTCGATCGGCAGAACGAGAGGAAACGAAGGGATCACTCACGTTCTCTTTCTCCATTCGCTTCTTTGTGAGGGGAAGGAGAGAGAGAGAATTGAGACCCTCTCGGGCGCCCTTTCAGTTCGCGTGAAGGTAGAATGGGATTCGAACGCGATTCTGGATAATGGAAAACTGGAAGATTTGGTCCGATTGGCCCTGAAACGGCTCAATGTCAGCTACCTCACAATATTGTCACGTTTGGTATGGTTCCAGCGAGAGACGCTCGTGTGTCACGAATGTGAGCACAAAGAGACATTTGTGAGACTTGCTTCCTTAAATGAGTGATTAAATTTCATTCGGTTTCGCTATTTGCTATTTTGCTCTTTATTAATTATATATAATTCGCCAATAATTTAATAAAAAATAATTCAATAAAAAAAAAAGCTAATTTATTCAAGAATAGAATCTTTTTTTGAGGGCAATGAGTAGTTCACTTAGAAATTTAAATTTTAGTAGTAAAAATAATGCATATATATTTTAACGTAATATATATTATTTTAAATACGAGTGTAAATGTGTAAAAAATGTTGAAAAAAAAAATATTTTAGTTATTTTCAAATTACTTAGCATGTTAAAATGTATGATAATAATAATGAAATCATTGTACTATAATCAGTTACTTAAAGAGTACATCAAAATTGAAACATTTAATTTTAACAATTATCAGTATTTTTATATATATTTTCAAGTAATTTTTTTATATTATATGTTATTTTACCATCGGCGTCGTTAATAGAATGTCTCGTCTCCACACTCGACAGACACACGGACGCCAGCGAACGGGGTCGTGTGAAAATGGTCTAAACAGTTCCAAATTGTGCCTAAGTTATGAAGTTACGTTTTTACGACTTGCAAAGTAGCACGAACGAAAATAGATGAGACTATTGTAGCAGCAAACGGATTTAGTTTGAGCGCGCTTGATCGGAGGCGACAACAGCGAACGCGATAGAGACAAAAGCGGTATATAGAGTTTCTTATTAAAGTAAATTTAAACAAGGGTGTATATTACCTACACATACGTTCCAGGGCCGTCCGGCCGCCATCTTGTGTTCAACCTTATGTTCCGTTTTTTCGAATAAGTGCAATTAGGTACACGAACAGGATCCACACTCACACGCATTCACTCATTAAGTACACACACGCGTACACATACACACGAGACACGTTGAGAAAAAAATGGAGTAAAACGAGCTGTTACGCGCTAAGTTACCGTTTTTTAAATTCTATTTTCAATTCACGCGCATTCTCGAATGTTGGGATTTTCGTGATCAACGAAGAGCTGGCCTGTCATTCATATAGGGATACACGCACACACAAGCACACACGCATACACGAATACACAAACATATACACATACACAAGACATATATACGCAATCAAGCGACCGACGTCGATTCGACAAAAAAAGGTCTTCCCTCGCGTACGCGCGGGATCTTCCTTTAAAATTGATGAGACACTTAGATGTGTCTTTCAAGTG